TCTCCTACGTGGTAGTGAGAATGAAGACATTAACGAGCTAGTGAAAGTAATTTTGATTGATCCGTGAAGTAGAACACACTGACCAACACCTCCTAAAATAAGATAATGGTTTTCTGGTTTTCATTTTCGGTCAGAAAATGGTCACTCTGTCTAAATGGGAACAAGAACTTCCCCCTCCCTCCCTCTCATTTTTTTCCCCCTTTAAAAATGAAACATGGAAGTTTTTCTCAACAACCTTTAAGACAATGCAGCCTTTTGTAGGTAATAACAGGGAACTTGAGATCTGAGGTTTGGTGGTGTGGTGGGTTTTTTTTGTTTTTTTTTTTCCTTCTCCTCCCACCCCCTTCAAATTCAAATCAAGCCTTAGGAAATAACAAGCATTCCAAATCTATGCATTTGGGGCATCCTGCAGTTCTGACAATGGTAAATTCTGCAACACACAAGCTTTCAGTCCCAGACTTCATTTAAGCCGAAGCTTTAAAAGTAAACTGTTGTCAGAGAGAAGATCGCATTCCCCCCTTAGAAGCTCATCAATCACACACGAAAAATAAAACCTACACAAATGTCTTACCTGGAAGCAGTGGAATTACCTGCAGAGGATGGCACTCCTGTCTTATAGACCAAGCCGACTTTGACCAGCAGCAGAATTACTCCAAAAGAAGGAAGAATAAGTCCTTTATATTGTAATTTTCACTGTTTATATGCAAGAAGTGTAGTGGGTCTGCTCACGTAGGAATAAATAAAAAGCCGAACAAACTGCACAGCAGCTACTATGTGAAAAGCAAAGACCTCTAGTGGCCACAGGAGGGATTTCTTAAAGAAGGAAGAGGAGATGGAGGAGTGGAGGGAATACGAGCGTCCACACACGCACACACCCCTCAAATGCTCCGAGATGGTCAGCCTGGCTGGAGGAATAAATCATAAGAAAAGTGATTTCTTGGCTTCAGGTATAAACACAAGTAAAGATAAGTTCTTGGTTTAAGTGGGACCTTGTTAAATTAGCGGTGATGGGAGTGTTCTGTCTGGTTTGAAAAGATGTATATAGAGAGCCTCACCTCCACTTCCTAAGGCCTAATCAGGAGGGAGATCACTGCTCCCAGAGCCTCTGAGGAGGTCTGAGGAGGTCAGCCCAGTGTGGAGGCTACAGGTCCCATCACTGGTGGGGTGTTTTGCCTGTTGCTCATGCAAGTCCCGGTTTGACATTCTGCTCAGCTTTGCATGTTTGTTTTCTAAACATTTTTGGTGTATGAGGGTGGTGGCCCAGCAGGCAAGGGATATGCCCTGTGTTGTTGTGGTGGGTCTCAGCATTAGACAAATCTTCTGCACAGTTTAATGGCTTGCTATCATTGACTTGAACTTCTGAATAATAACAAAGACCTTAAATTTTCATTGGCCCTGCAATTCTGTATCCTGTTCTGCTAATAGGGAAAGTACATATATTTAAAAGAATATTAACTATCATATTTCAAAGAATTTAGAAGAAATGAGAGTCCATGTCTTTGGGACCCACTTTAGGAAAAGTGAGACTGAAGAACGGTTGATGATAGAGTGGCTGTTTGCATGGTAATGTAAAGGGACATCTTTGGCTTATACAAATTCTTCCTGCACAAATCCAATTGAATTGTAAGCATATAATCAACAAAGATCCTTTTTTTCATATTACTTATACCTGGTGGCATAGATGTAATATACTGAACTGCTACCTGAATGGTCAACAGTTCAAATCTGCCAGGTCCTTCAAGGGAAAAAGATAGACAGTGTCCACCTCTAAAAATTTTACAGAGCCCAGTAGAGGGTTGCTATAGGTCTAGAACAGACTCAAAAGCAGAATTTTTTTGGTCTGGTTTTGTTGTTGTTGTTTTGTATTTTGAGTATACCTTCTTAATAAGGTTTTTAAAAAAAAAAAATAAAGGCATCAGTTTGCAATGTCAGTCGTTTTCTTAATTCAGACACACTTTTAAGTTCACCTCTTGACCAAACATTATATTCTACCACCTGTGGCAGTAGACTTATTGCCCTTTGTTAAGGTGACAGCCCCAGTGCAAACTAGTAAGAGCCTAGAAGGAATTATGTTGTCAGTGCGTCCTTTACCAGGGTTCCAGAATGAAGCTAGTTGTTGTACAGTCAGCTTCAAGTCATGGTGATTCTGAGTAGAACCTTACTCCACTGTGTTCGGTAGCTGATTTTTTTTAAAACAGTGGACCACCAGACCTTTATTCTGTGGTGCCTCTCATTGAACTTGACCCTCTAACCTTTTAGTTAACAACTGAGCATGTTAACTGTTTCCACTGCTTGGAAGTGTCCAGGATAGATCTCCTTAAATGTTGTTTGCCAACATTGTTTTCATTGTTGTTAGGTCCCATTGAATCAAATACAACTCATACTGACCCTATGAACAACAGATCTGTAACCTGTCCTATCCTGTACCATCTTCATCATTTCTGAGATACATGAGCCCATTGCTTCAGTTACTGTGTCAATCCACCTTGCTAAGGATATTCTTCTCTTTCACTGGCCTTTCATCTTTCCAAGCATGATGTCCTTTTCAAAGGAATGGCTTCTCTTAACAACATGCCCTAAGTAAGTAAGTAAGATGAAGCTTTTCTATTTTTTCTCCAAGGAGCATTCTGGCTTTACTTTCTCCAAGACATATCTGTTTATTCTTTTGGAACGCCAAGAAATATTTATAACTCTTCTCCAACACCACAGCTCAAATGTATCAACTTTTCTTCTGTCATCTTTATTCATTGTCCAGGTTTTATGGGCATAACAAGTGATTGGGAAAAAACAAAACAAAACAAAACATGGCCTAAACCAAGTGTACCTTAATCTTTCAACCGACATAATTGTTCCTTAGTAATTTAGAGAGAACCCTGACAGCAGACTTGCCCAGTGCAATACTTCTCCTAATCTCCTTATTGCTGGTTCCAAGGGTGTTGATTGTGGATCCAAGTAAAATGAAGTTATTGATAATTTTCAATATTTTCTCCTTCTATCATGATGTTGCCTGTTAGTCCAATGGTGAGACGTTTTGTTACCTTGACATTGACATATTGCTAACATTAGAACAGACAAAATCCACCGTCGTACAATCTTGCCCCACTCCTGCCTCCTGTAGTCCGTTGGGGCTGGGAAACTTGCAGAAAATACCTCCTGTAATCGGGGAGTTGAGGGAATGGTGTCAGGAACTTGCAGAAAATAGTGAGGTGAGACCTTTAGTCTTATGAAAGGCTGTGGTTCTTATTCGTCTCGCCCCACTGGTCCTTCCAGACTTACCTACCCAGGTTTACTCTCCCCTTGCCTGAATCACTCTGGAACTTGATCTCATTCAGACCAAGTGTCTTACATTCTCTTTCCTTATGGAAATGGATTTTTTTTCTTCTTCTTCTCAACTAGATCGTTACTTCTGAAGAACAGTGACCATCACTTTGTATTTTTTTAATTATTATTATTATTTTTTTTTTACTAAAGATCTTGTCAAGGGCTTGCCCCTGCTTTTTGTTCTTATTATATATCGTTGAGGCAGAACCAACTCATAGCTGAACTTCCAGGAGATTTTCAGAGACAGCCCATTGCACAGTGGAAGGTACTCATCTTTCTCCCACAGAGCAAGTGGTGGGTTTGAATCTTATGCCTCTGGGTTGGCAGTGCAATTTCTTACCGCTAAGCTCCCTGGTCCCTTATAGGTATTGGATTATCATTAGCTGACTCAAACTGGTTCAGCACAGAATTTGAACATATTTAACATCGTTCATCAGGAGTTGGACTTCTCAACCAAAGGTAGTTGAGGTCCACCACAGGATAAAGATGATCAACCTCTTCCCAGGAGATTTCTAGCCTCTGAAAAACCTATTGTTGGGTCAACGATGAGTTAGTTCCAATTTGACCACAATGATTGTTTTAGATGAGGAAATAATGCTTGACAGGTCCACAAAAAGTTGAACGTAGAACTACTGTATAGTCCAATATCTCTATTCCTAATTATATACTTGAAAAAAGTGCAGAAACACAAAGAGAAACTGTGAACCAGTATCTCTTGCAGCTCTGTTCACAACAGCCAATGGGTAGACACAAATTAAAGATCCATCAATAGAAGATGGATCTGAAAATGAAGTTTACATATGTAATGGATTTGTAATGGAGGTTCACGGTGGCATATTACGCTAAGTGAAATACATCAGTCACAAAGAACAAATATGGTAGATTTCGCTTATGTGAAATAAGTGCATGCACACAAACCAATGAATATTAATGCTTCCCAGGGGTGAGAGGAAGAGGAAAAGGGAGCTCTGAGATTTTATTACGTGTGGATACAGGATAGCGGTGATGATGGCATAATGTGATTAATTCAGTCAGTGACATAGAATTGTATATGTGAAGAAAATGTTGAATTGGTAATTTTTTTGTAATTTATTTTTATCAAAATGAAGAGGAAAGTAATTGCTATAGGAGTCATTTGAAACTCCAAGAAGGTAGATAGTCAACTGACTATTAGTCTCATTTTACAAATGACACAACTGAGGCTTACCCATGTAGAATTCTTTCTCAGATCAGGAGCCTCCCTCCAGAATCTTGATGTAGGACCGATTTCCTAAAGTCCAGCACAGAGATTCTTTCTCACCCCACAATCAGAAGGGGAGTAAAGACTTTTCATCTTTCTTCTCCAACTTGCTAGGAACCTGAGAAAGAAATGGATTGGGTTTTGTTTTCTACTTATGTTCCTCTTGTTCAAGTCCAGACATGTAGGAAGTTTTTAATAAATGATGTTTGGAGGAATGAACCATGAGGAAACATTTCCTTACGAGTAAATTTTCATATGCTGATCTGAGAAGAAGAAATTCCCCATCTTTCCATCCTAGCAGGAATAAAGGGGAGCTTTCTATACAACTCCAGGATGATGGAAGCCTGTTCCAGCTTGAAGTCAAGGAAATGGAAAGCATGAATGCTGTGTTCCCTGTTCCACTGTTTCATGGTATTTTTTTTTTCTTTATTTCTTACAGAGTCATTTTGTGGCATGTATGACAGCCATCTTAAATCAGATGGGTGACCAGCACTATTCCTCCTACATCGAGACCTTCCAGACCAGCTCTGAGCTTGTGGTGAGTTTGCAGGGTGCTGAAGGGCCAGATGGGAAGATGTGATGTGTGCTAAGCTCTCAGGACTACAGAGCTAGGAAGGCTTTCATTCGTTTCCTTGAGAATTTGCATGTGTGTTTGTCTACATTTAAACATGTCACTTTCATTCCTTATTTTTCATTCTTATCTGGAACTGTGACTCTTATCTCCAGTCCTTTCAGAGACAGAATATAATCTAGATATACCTCAACAAATATTTGTTAATGAATCATGGACATTTAGAGACATAAAAGCATGAGTATTTGTATAAAAAGTGCAAGGGGCACATGGGACAGTCATATCTGACCTTTATCAACCTCACAAAGGGGAACTGTCCCAGTTTACAGCATCTATTAACACCAAACCAATTCCCATAAGGAAACATGTCCCCTATGTTCCCATACATTTTTTTATTCATCTCACACCAATCTTACTGCTTTGCTAGTTCAAAATTCTATGCAATAGCTCACAGACCACACAAAACCATAGTGAGGAAGTAAAAAGTTTACAATCCAAATTAATAATAGAATTTAGTCAAGATAGCTCCTCAAATGTGCATATAGGCACCCTCAGCCTCAAGGCTCAGGACAGTGTTCCTAGGTTTTCAGTTCTGCCAATATTGGCTTTCCAACCCCGTTGTTCAACAGAGTTCTCAGACCTGCCAATATTGGCTCTCCCCCACCTCCTGCCAAGGTCCCATCCCACATCAAGTCTCCAGTTTGGCCATAAGTGTTGCTGCCATAGGTGTAACTAGAGTAAGAAGGGTGTCCTGCATTCTTTTGTTTTCCTCTTCAATGATGACAGAAGATTTGTCTGACTCTCAATGCTGTCCTGCTCAATTCAATGGCAAGATTAGTCAATATCCTTGTAGATTGTTCAGACTGACAAATCCCTTTATGGAATGGGAGATCATAAAATTCCTTGTGAATAGACTCTCATGCCCCATTTACATACCCCCACATCTACATAGCATCCTCTTTCCTTAATACAATAATTGCTTCAGCTTAGACATCCATCACACAATTCTGAGTTTGAATCCAGGTCTTCTCACTGGCTAACTATATGACCATGAGCAAATTCAACTCCCTTCAGCCTCTCCACCTTACAGGTGGAGTTGACATTTATGTCACATGTTAAGGAGCTAAATCAGAGCACATAGTAGGTGCTCAGAAAAGATACTTTATGTTGTTGTTGTTGTTATGTGCCGTCAAGTCGCTTGCGACTCATAGCGACCCTATGTACGACAGCCCTAAACTCCACTCTGTCCTGTGCCAATCGCACTGTCTCTGACACTCCCATAACAATTATCCCAGTCACTGAATCAATCCACCTCATAGAGGGCCTTCCCCTCCTGTGCTGTCCCTCCACCCTCACAAGAATGATGTCCCTCTCTAAGGACAGGTCTCTCCTCACAACATGTCCAAAGTATGTTAGATGGAGCCTCAGAATCCTTGCCTCCAAGGAGCCACCCGGTTTAACCC